TCTGCTTAAAAATGTGATATCTTGTACCTATCCTACAATGATTATTTTTATAATCGTCAAACTTGTAGTTGAATTGTTTAAACTTTGAAATTTCATTGTAATATTCATTGTAGGATGCCCAGTAGCACCATAAATCCAAATTTAAATTTTTGGTTAATATATCTACATAATGCCATTTAATTAATTTTGCTACACTAACAGTAACAGTTGAAAAGATAAATGGATTCATCGTGCTAGGTTGTAGTCCTTTTTTAAATTAAAAGTAAACTCACCAGTGATGACTAAACGTCCCTTTGTGGCAGAAAGACGAGTTTCACCAGTCAGTCTGTGCTTAGTACGACATTGGTATGACTTGTATCCATCCTCTGGTCCTACATCTCTTATATGTAATTCACCAGATGGTAGAACCAAGTATTTGCCGTCTGTCGAAAAATAAAATAATTATAGATATTTGTCGAATGATCTAAAGTTCAAGCTATTCTCAGAATGTTCAAGCATTGCAACGCAACATAAGGTTGCGATTTACTTACATATTTTGCAGCATGCATTTTAGCCTAAGGTAGAAGGAAGAAGGATTGAGGTAGGCCGTGAGGCCCGTGGAGACACGGGAACCCTTTTTGAGGAACAATGCCCTAAACAGAACGAAATGAAATTTCAGTAATCACTAAGTACGTAAAGAAAATGAACATTAATTTAGGACTCAAATCGGGCAAAAGCCAAAAGATTTATAGTACCAAATATTTTACCATCAAAATTTTTGGGAGACTCTAATTTGATTTCGAGCTCCTCTTCACCTTCACTGATGATCCATGAAACAACCACAACGTATTCTGAGACGAAACTGGGTATGTGACATTTTAATATAGCTGCGTTTCCTCTGAGGACATACTCTTCTAATAGATTTACAGCGTATGCTTGCGAGACAACTGCAACAAGACGACCAAAAGTCAGAAGGATATCAAAATATCGTTAAGAATAACACTATAACCTCAATCAAACGAATACCTAACTTTTAGAAATAAATCACTAGTAGGGATATGGTGGATATAAGGATATAAGCACCGCAAACTAAAGTGTTTCGACAAAAATACCTAAATCTGAAGTACTATTTATTTTAATCTCCCTTTCGTTTTCGTCTTCAGAAATAATCCAAGAAGCTACCGAGACGTATTCGGAAACAAAACTTGGAATTTGACATTTCAAAATGGCAGCATTTCCTCGCAAAATATACTCTTCCCAAAATTTCACGTCGTATGCTTGAGATACAACTGAAAATGAAACAAAATGCGAACTTCAAAATATGAGAGCCGAAGATATAACGGAAGATGTGTAAAGGATTTTTTCAAGGTACAAAGATGAACAAAGACAAGTCGAAGAAAGATCGTAGGGAAAGGATACGAGGAAAAATTCGCCGTAAAATCATTGTTACCTAAATTAGGATCTGAGTCTAAATTTATTTCCTGCACATCTTTATCCCCTTCGGAAATTATCCAGGAAGTAATAGCGACATACTCGGTCACGAAACTTGGAATGTGACATTTAAGTATAGCAGCGTTTCCGCGCAATACGTTTTCTTCCCAAAGATTCACGGTGTACGCTTGGGATACAACTGTAACAATTTGCAACTTGCCTATGTGCCTATTTCAAGAAAAAAAGAAAAGAAAATCGGTGGCGTAATGAGGTTTTTGAGAAGTTTAGGAACCGTGGAGTTTCGGGACAGCCTTAGTATTTACTATGGTACCTAAATTTGAGGAGTCATCTACTTTAATCTCTAATTTATCTATATCTCCTTCAGAAATTATCCAAGAGGATACGGTTACATATTCGGTGACGAAACTGGGTATGTGACATTTGAGTATAGCAGCATTGCCACGTAAGACATTTTCTTCCATTAAATTGACAGTGTATGTTTGCGATACCACTGGAACAATATTGTTATTTTATTATCTCTTGCTAAAAAATAATCCTTTACAAACACACATGTCGTAAAAAAGGAAGGAGGAAAAATTGGATATTAAAAAGAGGTTTTCTATAGCAAATACCCAAATCTTTATTTTCTTCAGCTTTAATTTCTAATTCTTCCTTATCTCCTTCAGAGATAATCCAAGATGAAACACTGACATATTCTGTTACGAAAGTTGATATATGACATTTCAAAATAGCTGCATTTCCACGCAATACACTTTCCTCCATGAGATTCACTGTATAAGCTTGTGTCACTACTGCAAATTAAATCGTAAACAAAGACGTGAGAAGGACCAAATTGATAGGAACATGAAATATGGATTGTATTATATACATATTTAGTTTTGAAGAAAACTACATATAAGTAGGTATAGAATACCCTCTTTGTTCACAGTGTCGTTTAATTTAATTTCCGTTTCAACTTCTCCTTCAGACATTATCCACGAAGAAACTGATACATATTCTGTCACGAAACTTGGAATGAGACATTTGATTATGGCAGCGTTGCCTCGTAACACATTCTCTTCTACTAAGTGAACAGAGTAGGCTTGAGACACCACTGCAAATAATAATTGACACCGATAGTAAGCTAGCTATTCGGTACACCAGATAATTGGCACACGCAGGATAGGATACAAAGGACAAAATGTTATTCCGGATGCTAGAAATACCGTAATTATCATTTATAGTGTATTCTCCACCATTGGTGTCGTGCCAAGAAACTACTTGCACATGATCGGAAACAAATGAAGGAATATGGCACTTGAATACAGCAGCATTCCCTCTGATCACATACATATCGTAAACCTGCGACTCGTAGAACTGATTTACGGCTGAAATGTTTATGAAACGTTAAGCTACAATTGAACGAATGATGTAGAATGTTGTGTGGAGCGGATAGGAGCAATTGGGGACGTGCGGGCGCTCTCGATTACCATAATTGCGCTCGGAGTCGTTCAACGAAAATGCGGACAAGGACTCTTCACCCATCACCCATTCCACAACATGAACGTAGTCAGCCACAAAAGACGGAATTGTACATTTGACTATAGCTGAGTTGCCACGCAATACATCTTCATCGGTAACACGAGGTTCATAACTCTGATGGACCACTGTGAAATCCGGTTAATTGTGATAGTTACAAATTCAAAAGGGATAAGGGAGTTATAGGAAAAAACTTTGTAACGAACTTAAAACTACCAGGGTCAATAGTTTGGCCTTCAGCAGTAATAGTGTCATTGTCCATAATCCAGGCTACTACATGAATAAAGTCAGCAACAAAAGATGGCCCAATGCACTTTAAAATAGCAGTATTGCCTCGCAGAACAAACTCATCGTTGACTCTAGCCTCATAGACTTGAAGAACAGCTGTGAGAAAAATAAGTAGGAATTAAGGACGGTGTGTATCTCTTGTGTAAAGTGAGGAATTACCCTCATTCTCTCCTGATTGATAAGTGCCACCATTGCTGTCCATCCACATTTCTACAGATACGAAGTCTGAGACAAAACTTGGCACTTCACATTTCATTAACGCTGCGTTCCCGCGAATAACGTATTCGTTATCCGCTTCAGCTTCGTAAGGCTGTGATACCACTATAGAAACAACATACTAATTGAGACCAATAGTAATTATTCAGGTAAATAGGGATATTTTGGATATTGGGTTAACATAGATGAAGAATGAGAAGTTCGTTTGGAAAAATGTACCCTCAGCAACGTTTGTGTTATTTATCGTCAATATTTGTCCATCGTCCATAACCCAGCTTTCCACTTGCACGAAATCGCTAACAAAAGATGGAATCTTGCAACGGACAATGGCTGCGTTCCCTCTAATCACGTAGTCATTTTCGGGTTCGGTCACGTAGAATTGCGATACGACTGAAGAATAATAATCAGGTGCTTTAGGTAGGAACTGACAGGTGGAGGTGTTAGAACAAACACTCGATGCGGGAAGTGGACGCTTCATTGTTAGGCGATGCTATTGTTACCGAGGTCGTCGGAATGGTTAATCACTGTTCCTTCATCGTCTAGCCACGCTTCTACTTTTACAAAATCAGCCACAAAAGAAGGAATAGAGCATTTCAATACAGCAGCATTGCCCTTTATAACATATTCTGTGAGAATTTCGGCTTCGTAGAATTGATTTACGACTGAAAAAAGACATTGGGAGATGATGAATTTGAAATCTACAATACTGTAGAGTCGGTCGCCAAATAACGCGACATTTCTAGGATTGGGATGAAAAGGATTAAACGGATACCATAGCACCCAAGGTAAAATACCAATATCATCGGAATATAAGTATTCGCCACCGTCAGAGTCGACCCAAGCTTCCACTTTGACAAAATCGGCGACGAATGACGGAATATTGCATTTTAATACGGCGGTATTCCCTCGAATCACATATTCGGAGACCACTTCCGCTTCGAAGTACTGAGTTACAACTGTAAACGTATCAACATTAAAATATTTATATGGATGGGGCTTAAAATTGGATAGGATGAGTGGATGCACAGTATACTGATGTATCCATAAATTAGTTGTACCATTTCCTTCCTTCGATTCCTCTGTAGCGAAAGAATTGCCAGAGTCGTCATGCCAAGAGACAACACTGACGAAATCCGCCACAAATGAAGGAATAGAACATTTGAGGATAGCGGCGTTACCGCGAATCACATACTCATTGTTTACTTCTGATTCGTATTGCTGCTGCACCACTACAATTATCATTTAAGAATAAATATAAAATAAAGAAATATTTTTCTCAGATCACAGAGATGATACTTGGAAGAAAGGATTTAGGAATTTATAGAACAGCTAAGCGATTAACCATTGTTTTCGCCAGGGAAGAAATCTTCGTTTTCACTGGTGTGCCAAGAGAGGACCTCAACGAAATCAGCAACAAAAGAAGGGACCTGACATTTTAATACGATGCTGTTTCCCAATATGACATAGTCCTTGTTAACATCCGTGTCATAATGCTGTGCAACAACTGATGTTTAAAAACAAAATCTGCATTGAATACACACACTTACACTGAAAGAAATGAAGATTATAATCTAATTCTATTTAGTGTTAATTAAAGTTAAACTCTTTTAACGACTACAAACGTATAATTTCGAAATACATCATGTAAAAGCACAATGAAAAAATATTCTCTAGAGTTTTATAATGAGGCTCATTAAATTATCCAGACTTTTTAGGCAGCATCGGTATTGTAATGTTTTAGGTCACTGAATGATTTATTATTCAATGAGCAAGTGCAAAGCGATTACACAATAGGGGTTCATTTACATAGTAAAATAGATAGCGTACACATAAAACCAGCAGTGGGCATAATATATACATTTTTATTTGCAACGGTGACGTACTTATAGTACTAAAAACATAAGTCTTGCGTGTTTTTTAATACTATCAAACTAATTAATGTAACAAAAAGGAAGTCACTGGAAATTAATCCTAACTCTAACCGAATTGTTACTTTACTTTGTACTCCCTCTGATACAACTAATTTATCTAATTCGACCAGAATTGTTAATAATGTGTTAATTTTATTGATAAAACAAAAATCTATTAAACTAAGCTATCATCTGCCGTCATTGGTCGATTACTTAATTGGCCTCATTTGGCCCTGGGTCATAAAGGGCAGCGCCCTGTGACTGCCAATCAACCTTTTAATCTATCAAAGACCCTACTGGAACATGTTTATTATAATGTCAGTTGGCTTTTATTAGTACACTTGAATCATCTCAATTGACTACCTACTTATAGTATCACATAATATATAACATAGTGACCATGTAGAGCCAGAGTCGTTGGTTTGCTTGAAAAAACTAAAATTTGATTTTTATTTTATTTTAATTGATGTTAATCAAGTGACAGGACGAACAAGTCGTGCGCCTGATGGTAAGCTACACGCCTGTCCATAGTAGTTGCAGTGCCACTCAGAGGTTTAAAACACACAAATATTTGAAGGGCACTGCCACTCGCCAGTCAGCCTGAGACATAAGTTGACAAGTACCATGTGTCTGTAATTCACCAGCACCCTTCCTGACATTACTGCTTGGCGGCAAAAAAGGTGGCAGTACTACCCTAGCCGAACTCTTTCACAAGGAGCTTTACTGCTACTAAAAGATTATATTCGAAAAAATAGTGTATTTTCCAAAGAGTAGCAATCGCGAAAACTTAATAACTCGAAGTTAAACTTTATTATTATTAAGTTGGGTATTCAAAGTTGATAACCAAATAAATAGTACGACGATAAACTACGAAACTTATTAAATGAAAGGAAATAATACCAATTTGTAGTCAGGTCATGTTCATGCCACGGTTTATCGTTTTGTAAGTATCGTGAGTTACGCACGCGGGCGTTCGTTATTATCGTCTCATCGTTCATAATAACGGTGACATTAAACTGAAACTAAATAATATTTTGCAATACTATTGACCGTTCATGAAATTCTTAAAATATTTAGGCACAAGCAAATATTTTTATCGTTAATAGTAAATTAAGTTTCAAACATACTTTACGGAAACTAATGTCACTGTACTCTAGCTAGAAACTCGAATAACAGGTAAGCAGATATTCAAATATACCTACTCGTATTTCATTTTTGTTCATCTTGATTTAAGTGAAATACGAAATGAATAATAAATCAGCGTAACGCATTGCTGGAGTCTTTGTGACAACAATATTAAATTACAAAGACGTAGGGGTCTTAGGTCAGCTGTACACGTCAAGTGGCTTATCATATCATAATCGTTTCATGTTCTCGTAAAAGTATGTTTATAGGTTTTTTGTACTCGAGTAAGATATAAAGGCCAAATAAAACAACATTTGGAAGACGAGTGAAAAAATGTTGAAACATTTTATATTTTAGTAATTTTTATACTTATGTTTATGTAGAAAACATTGAGTAGATAGATAAACCATGAAATTTTAACTCAATTACATCAATAACATATCATCGAAAGATGCTTGTACGCCTTGTCTTTCCCGAAGTATCGATTCTCTACAGTAAAAAGAAGAGAGAGAAGAGTTTCAATCTGTCTTTTTACATACAGGTAATACCAAAAATAATATTACGTGAGACGTACCATAGTTTCCGGAATTAATAAGAAAAAAATACTATAAATGGTCAGAAATGAATTTATTGTTTCTCAAAATATTCCAGTTAGCGTTAATGCACTTTTTCGTACGAATGAACCAATTTTGAAAACATTTATGCCACTCCTCCGTGACAATATCTGAAGAAACATATTTTTCATACTCTTCGACAGCCTCTTCAGGTGATGAAAATCGTTAACCGCGTAACTGGTTCTTAATTTTTGGAAATAAATAAAGTAAATAATAAAGTCACAAGGTGCCAGGTCGGGACTGTACTCGGGATGGCTCATAAGGTCAACGTTGTTCACCTTCAAAAATTCATTTGTCTGGCCGTGTGAGAACTGGCATTATCGTGGTGCAAGATGATACGGCGTTTACGGTTATTTTTACGGAGTTTGTCAATAACTTCCGGCAAACAAATGCTCGTGTACCAATCACAATTCACGGTACGACGATTCTCCAAAACAACAGTAGCCACGTGTCCAGTTTTATTAAAAAAAGAAGCAATCATCTTCTTAGATGCACTTTGCACGCGCGCCACTTTAGTTGGTTTTGGCTCATCTCGAAAGACCCATACGCTCGATTGCTGCTTTGTTTAGGGATCGTAACTATAAATCCATGTTTCGTCACCTATTACTATATCACACACCAAATATGACGCCCCTTCGTTGAATCTGGTAACCATAGCATTGCACCAAGTGACGCGATCCGTTTTTTGAGCTTCAGTCAAATTGTGTGGGATCCGCCGAGAGCACAGCTTTTTCACACCCAAAATGTTTGTGGAGTATTAATAGTATTTGACTCATCCCTATGCCTAAAGATGCCCGAATCTCATGGTATGTCACATGCCTGTCTGTTTTGATCATACGGCGCATAGTATTGTTGTTTTTGTTCACAGTAGTGGACTGGCGACCATCACGAAATTCGTTACTGAGATTCACACGACCGCGTTTGAATTCTGCAAATCAGCTATAATTAGTCGTCTTGCATGGTACTTCATCGCCAAAAGCAGTTTAAAGCCGAGCGAAGCTTCGCTGAGCTTTTAAATTACACTTAAAGTCGTAGAAAAACATACTACCAAAATTTTCACGAGTTAAATCCATGGTGATGTAGACAACCAATTTCTATGGTGACGCCACAATGTAAAAACTAGTGACAGTCAGATGAAACAAACTGTATTCTACAACCAAAGAGTTCCATTTTCAAATATTGTAATTACTTTTTAAATATTGTTTATGTAAGTGGCCAGTTCCGGAAACTTATAGTGCGCCCTATATTATTATATCACATCAGTAGGATAATAATATTATTTTCTTTTCGCCTTTAAATATCGTTGACATACATAAATTTGGATGATATATTATTGTTTTGGTAACCTGTAAGTGAAATGGTTCTAATTCTCTTAAGTTGTGTAACCGCTTTAAGCACTTCCTTCCTTACTTCACTTTAAAACGAAAATAACTACTTCGCCTATTTCTGTTTGGATTTAGTAGGCATTGCCTCGTTTCCTATTTCCGGACGATGGAAGTTTTCTCCAAACTAACCGTTCGAAGTCGCAGTACTTACAAAGATTTATTTCGGGATTCGAAAGTAATTATTTAATTTGTTATAATACCCCAGCAACAGTAATAAATTTAAATAGCAAATAAAGAGTGTTTTGACAATTACATGGCTGTTAATTTTCCTCACTTCGTCGTTTTATTGCAAATGTTAATAGTTATAGGTAAACACAATAAATCGATATCAATCGACTGTACCGAACCTAAAGATCTCGCTTCCATCGTCCTTCCATCTTCCATCTCTTTAACTCTTATTCCAAAGTAAACAAACTTACCAGCTCGGACATTAACGTCTCGGGAATGAATAGTACCAACGGGGTTTCTAGCGAGACAGGCATAGACCTGAGCGTGAACTTCTTGCCGGTAATCCTCAGCGCGAAACGGTGGAAAGACTAGGTTGCCGTTCGGTAACACCTGTAAGAAAGATCAATGATACAATTTTTACCATAATTGTGCTAAATTAAACAATCTGAGAATTAAGTAAATGAATAAAACGATGGGTGTGTAGTGGATCATACTAAAGATTAACAGATTAGATGCGAATTACGCCCTCTTAATGAAAACATTAATCGTTTCATAAATATACTACTACCGGAATAGCAGCAGAACTTGACAATAAAGTAAAACAATAATTTAGGCACCTGTCGAAGTCCAGGAACATCTCCAACAGCAGTTCCATCAGATCGTACCCAGATGACATCGGGAGGTGGGGATCCGCGGACAGCACACTCCACTACGGCGCCGGTCGTGTTGCTAAAGTCCACTCGATTTGGAGGTTCTTTTATGAATATTGGGCCTATAGTCTCATCCTCACAGAGCACTAATCCTGTAACAAGGAAAATAGATTTTTGCATTCATAATGCTATACTTCAACCACTAGGATGCATTAATCTGTTAGTGGATTCAATGAAACTTTAATGTGTTGCAAGATTAGTTTTAGTATCTAACTACTTTGCTGTGCAATTTGGATGGGTAAATCTCGCACAATAGTCTAAACCAGTGGTCCGCAAATCGCGGATCGCGTGCCACATGCTGCTCTTTGGCTTTTTGAAAGTGGCTATTCCACGAAATACAGATACGGGTGAAGTATGCAAGACAGGTGTAGATGGGAGAGCTGGAAGGGGTCGACATCAGTTCACGTATCTCAATCAAACCGAGAACGATTTTAGCAAAAACCAACTTAAAAGTCTCGTAATTAAATTAATAATAATACATAGGGCGCACTATAAGTTTCCAGAACTGGCCGCTTACACAATATTTGACCTGGCACCTTGTGACTTTTGTGAATATTTTGAGAAACAACAAATTCATTTCTGATCATTTATACTATTTTTTCTTATTCATTCCGGAAACATATAATGCGCCACACGTATATCAATATATCCACCTAGGTACCTATAACGTTTAAGTTTTAAAAAATTGGCTGTCAAATGAAATTTCAATTGTTGTACTGTTGATATTTGGTTCTGTTGATTAATAAGTTTACCGACCCAGTGGTCGGTTAACTAGTCTAGACAGCTCTACTCATACTCAAGGTGATAATTAACCAGTACATAAAGAAAAAATTGATTTAGATGCGTAAAACTTCAACATTCACTTAGCGCGGTGCTAACCTAGTCAGTGAGTCGTTGGAAGCCCTAAATAGAGATTTATGAGAGCACACTCGGGCACGTCACGACCCTTTTGCGCTAGTTTATGAAAGCTTTGACCTAGAATGCGAGCCAGCTTACAATAATAAAAACTTGCAAGAGATAGACTCCTTGTAAATTATTTCATTGAGTCTAAGCATACGAGAGATGAACGATACTGGTTTTTTAGTCTCCCTTGAAGGTACCCGTTTTTGTAGGAAATCATAAGACTGGCAACTGTCATCTTGACAGGCGTGAGCCCGCATAACCTTGCCCAAGAGTATAGTAACACTTCTTATTCAGTAACAAACAGTAATAATCTACATTACCTACCTCTAAACTTCATTATCCACCTTATCAACAACCTACATTATCTATTCTATCTCATAAATATTCGTGTTTTGTAATTACCTTAAATTATTAGATAGCATTTAAATTGCAATGTGTCATTGCTAACCATTACAGCTACACCCTACAGCAGGGATGCACAGACCGCGGCCCGCCGGTGAAATACTGGTGGCCCGCCGACAGCAAAATAATACTCTCGTACATATCGAGTTCTTAGGTTTTCGCGATTGTTACACATAGGAAATGAAACTATTTTTCCGGATTTAAATCGCGTATATTTGTTTTTTCAAACAAACCGACGTTTCGGGCCCTTTACAGGTCCCATGGTCACGGTTGACTGAGGTGGTACAGTCTTCAACCAGTTATGTCTAATATTAATGCAAACCACCCTATTTTTTCACTATAGTTACAATAGTTATTAATTAAATACCTTATTTTTAATTTTACAAAGAAAACATTCCAATTTACGCTACATTAAGTTTTACAAATTATTTTATTGAATGAATTTTTATTAAGTTTAATTTATTATTAATTATTAATAGAAATTAGAATAAACTAAAACATATTAATTAGTACTGCAGTCTTATGTCTGTTTAGGATTTTTCATTAGAGGAAATACTGGATCCCAAACTGGTGGTACGGAGAAACCATCTTCCCTTTGTGTGATTTGGCTTTTTTAGTTGACATCAACATCAACATACAAATCATTTCAATGTCTTGAACACACGGCTTCAAGGCAAAAATCAACTGATATCACAGCTCTACGCTCATGTATCATCCTTTCAATGCAAGCTGACACTTTTCAGATCGCAACTGAATTCTGGAAATTACAATCATTTTCCGAATTATAAGAAAATGGCCGAAAAATTCAACAAAACTGCGATTAATTTCAGTTATGTAGAAAAGCTAGATATTTTGATTCAATCTTTTCAAGACAGATTTTCGGACTTTAAAAAAGTGAAACCTCTGTTGGACATATTCAGCAATCCTTTCACGATTTCAGTTGAAAATGCGTCAGAGTCAATGCAGTTAGAAATTATCGACATTCAAAACGACCAAGATTTACGCAACAAATTCAACGAAGGAGACTTGTTGAACTTTTACCACTGCATTGATAAAAATATGTACAAAGAATTGCGCATAAACGCTTTGAAATGTGCCAGCTTATTTGGTTCTACCTATATGTGAGCAAACTTTTTCAATACTAAATAATAATAAAACAAAAAATCGAAACCGCCTTGCAAATGAAAGTTTGGAAGCAGTTTTACGTGTTGCTACAAGTAAATTTGAGCCAAATATAAAAAAGATTGTAAGCAGTATGCAGTGCCACGCTTCAAATTAATAAATTATTTTTCAATTTGAATACATTATTATCAATTCTTTATTGTCTTTAATTACCTATACTTCTGACGGCCCGCCATCAATTCATGATTTGCCCGAGTGGCCCCTAGTCTTAATAAGTCTGTGCATCCCTGCCCTACAGTTACCATCTGAAACTACCATTCACCTACGAACTGGAACAACAGTTAAAAAACTAAAACCAGATTACTACAAAAAATACTTAGAACTATAAAAATTACAAACAACAAAGTTTGATTTAATTTTAGTGGTTGGTGGACATGATTTTAACATACAATTTAGTCAATGTTTCCGAAAGTGTGCATATACATTTAACTATGCTCTCTAAGGACAAAAATATTTTGTAGAGAATCAAAATTTTCGTTATTTGTGTAGTACCACACACCATACCCCACATACCACAAGCGAACGGTGAAAATGCATTGTTGAAATCGGTTCATTGCGCGACTTTGAGAGCGAGTAGCTTGACTGTCATAGTATGTGTTAATTAATTCGGTGTTTCCGGTTGAGATAATGCGTATAACACAACTCGGTGGACTGACTGAGCTTAACTGTCATTGGAGACGAAAGACGCACGGAAGATTACCTGCCGTTTTTTGTATCTGTACTACGTACTAAGGTAAAACCACAATGCTAACCAAGTTTGGAGAACTACATATATAAACTAGGTACTTATATAGAAGGCCCTAGGTTAGATTCGCACACTTCCAGGGGCCTGCGTTATAGAATTTTTGCAAGTCATGTGACATTTAGGGTCAAAGGAACAAACGTCATCGCAGACGCATGAATTCTCAAACCATTTTGTTGGGGACCGACGTTAGGAAGTTGTACTACGCGGCGTGAACTATGGCCTAAATCCTCTCTTTAAGAGAGAGTGCTGCCAGCACGTTTAAGAATTGGCAATAAGCTATTCAGCTATTCCTACTGGAGTTATGGTAATAAATATCTTAAGCTAGGTATAGTAGCTACTTATTGTAAAACTATAAACTGGGAATACTTTACTATTTTCAGTAGGTACTTTTTGTTGTCACATAAGCATGGTTGTTTCGTTTAAAACTTTTGCAAAACTAAAATAAAATGATCCATTACAATATTCAGGGCAAATAAAAAGCATTAATATGTGCCTTAACCCTCCATGACGACAAAAAATAGCAACAAAAGGAACAAAAAGCGCGGGTGTAGCTCGAAACTCGACAGATGTGCGCCCGCGCACGCTTCTGATTGGTAGATTCATCGACAGCTGTGATTCGAGTGAATATGCAGACGGAGTGAATCAGGACGATTTATCACAGTACTTGCAACCGTTTCTAGTGCAAGGATAAATACAATCCTTGTTAGATGCGTCAGGTGGCTGCAATTAAATGTGATAGATGGACAAGATACGCTGAAATGCGGTTAAGTAATGAAAAATTAAAAAGTAGTATCTATGTATGAGAGATAATATATCTACCAAAAAAAATATTTAAGTACACATTGGAGAGTAAATACGTAGATGCTTGATGAGGAGGTCACTGGTTCCATATCCCGTAAGACCAATTTGGGAAACAAACTTTTCTTAAATTATTCGGAACTTTGTTCCGTGTGGAGGGAATTCCAGGTAAATTGTGTGGTTGTTTGGGCCACATTTATTATTATTAAAGGTTTTTAATTATTATTTAATGTAAGTAGTTTTGTAAAGACATTAACGTACCTTTACGCAGGCATAGCAATCGACCTAAACGATTACTCACTCTATTAGTAAATGCAAACAGTTCATATCGTATCAAAAACTGATAGAATCTGGATTATGATAAGAAATACATTACATCTGATTCTAGATAACTATATCACGACACAGATATGACAATAATAAGTCTCTATAGACACACGATGAAAAGAAAATACGTGTCGTACCTTTACAATGTTACGAAGTAATATTTTTATCCATTTTTTATCTATGGGTATAATACGATTGGTTCTCTTATCACTGTTTATACGCGTTTCAGTAAAACACTTAGAACAACTTAATATTTAAGGAGACCTTGCCGTTGATGTGCAATAGTAACCACAACACGTGGTAACATCATGCTGAGAACTCTCAACCCACACGCCATGGTCACGTCAGTGCCAACCGATACTCATTTCACATTTTGTAATCCCTGTGAAATACGCATTATATGACCAAAGTACTGTAGTTTGCGTTTTTTGATAGTACTCAAGACCTAATTTGTTATTCACCATACTTTTTCATTGGATACTCTATCTATCGATATATTTTTAAAATTCTTCTGTAGACCCACATTTCAAAGGCTTCTAAGCGGTTGCTCTTATTTTAAGTTAAGGTCCAGAACTCTACGCCATACAGAAGAACCGAAAACACGTAACAACGTGGCAAACGCTTCCTGTTAGATATCTTCAAGGATCGATTGCAGAGTAGATGACTCCACTTTAGAAATACGTTACGTGCTTGTTCTATCCGACATTTGATCTCCACGCTTTGATCACATTGGTC